GATGTGTCTGAATTACGTCTGGGTCCCCAGGCCCCTGCACAGGGCTTGGCACATAGTCAGCGGTCAGGTATGGCTTGTCAACTCCCTCCCCAGGGAGATCATTCCTTCCACGCCCTAGGGGAGTGCCTACTCAGGGCCAGACCCTCCCCAGACGGCTCCCACTTTCCAGTGAGACACAGGAGAAGTGTCTTGGTTGGCTTTTACTCTTGGCATCAAAAGCGTTTTTCTGAAACGCCCAGCCACAAGCAGGGCCTGACAATGGCTGCTCTGCCCAGTGGGTGCCGCACAGGGCTCAGATGCAGCCCCACCACCCCAGCCAGGCCCTCAGCGCCCTCCACAGCACTCAGCTCCTAGAGTGGCCCAGGAACCCCTTTTCCAGACCAGCACATTGATGCCTCCTCATCCAAGGGGAAACTGAGGCACCGATATTCTGGGAGCTCATCCTGCAGGAATCCAAAACTTTTTCCTTAGGATGCTGAGTGAAGGGAGACAGAGAAAAAGGAGGCTTCCTCTCACCCATAGCTGAGCACTCTCGCTTTCTCTCTCTCTCACTCTCTCTCTTAAACACACACACACACAAGTTCAGAGACACCCACCAATTACACAAGGGCATGCCCAGTCAACTACCCAAATATCAAAAAAAAAAAACCCGGTTGCCATCGAGTAGATTCGGACACATAGTGACCCAACAGCACAGAGTAGAATTGCCCCATAGGGTTTCCAAGGAGTGGCTGGTGGTTTCCAAATGCCGACCTTCTAGTTAGCAGCCGAACTCTTAACCACTATGCCACCACCCAAATATAAGCAGAAACAAAATGACAGATACTCATGCCTGCCACTCACTCCCACACCCGTGTATCACACTCCAATTTCATCTGCAGCCCGTTCCAGTCTGAAAGGCATACCCCAGTTCCACACCCACACCCTCAGGGTCGTTTCCACACACAGCACCCGAAGATGCGGGAAGCTATGCAGTGTGACCCACAGATTCGCAGGTCACACTGTACCCACACCCGAGGGGTAGATCTGGTTACGTACACACACACACACACACACACACACACACACACACACACACACACACACACACACGAAGTTAACTACTCCAGAACTACTAAGGTCCAAGCCAGAGCTTCCAAGACCCGCTGGGCCCGGCATTCACCCCCTATCGGCACGCACTAACACGCGGGGAGACGGACACACAGCGGGTGGAAAAGCAGCTTCACTAAACCCAATCTAGACACACGCACGAGTTGTACACAAAGCCTCGGGGCGCACACATACGCACACCCAGATCCACACTGTTAGACCCAAAGTTCCGCGCAGAATG